GGCCGGGGGCGCCGGCGAGCGTGAGGCCGCTGTCCAGCCGCCGCGGGCTGGGGGTCGTCCTCCCGCGTGTCCGCCCGGAGCTTCTCCCTCCAGGCCGGGATCCTGCGGCGTCACCGCCGTGAAAGGGCGGGTCTCTCGCCCCTGAATGGTCCATCTGCTTTGGGGTGCGCTCTAGGGTCAGGCGGGCGCCCCACCCTAGGTGGGCACCTTCTGTGTCCAGACAGTCCAGATGCCAGGAGCTCAGGGCCTCGCCCACCAGGCTGCTGCCATGTTCCCAGGCTCCCTGGTGGGCGCGCCCCCTCCCTGCGTTTGGAGGGGTTCAGGCCTGAGAAGAGCTGCCTGACAGCCCCCTACACTTCCCTTTGCGCCCCAGCCAGCTCACTCCACAGCAGGTCAACAGGCCTGGGGCCCCCCGCAGGGCCGAGGGCTGCTGAGAGTCTGGTGGGGAGGAGGCCGGTTCCCTGGGGCCTGGGCCCCTCACAGGGCTGGGGGGGCTTGCTGGAGGGCTTGGGGTGCGTGCATTGTGGGGAACCCCAGTGCTGCGGCAGTGTTGAGGAGAGTGAGCCCGATAGAGGCCCCTCTGGCGTCCAGGGGAGCCCAGCTGGGGCAGGTGCCCGGTGACTGCTGTCCACTGCGGGGTCCTGAGGAGACAGGGACGGGAGACTGGGCGTGGCTCCGGCGGCAGTGGGGGGGGCGCTGCTTGGAACCCCTGGCTCAGCACACAGGCCTGGAGCAGGGCTGGGCGACCTGCCCCCCCCCCCCAGCGGTCAGGAGCCCCGGGCCTGCGATTTCCAACATCCCGCGGGGTTCTGTCTTCATGGGAAGATCTGAAAGGCGAGGCCATGGGCAGCGCATGAGGGCCCGGCCAGGACAGCTCGAGGGAGTTGCTGGGTGGGGCCCCCGGGCTCCGGCCTCCACACTTCCCAGGGCCCAGGCCGCCGGCCCCCAGGCACGGCTGGATATGCCCCGGGGGGTCATGGACAGGGGCGGGTGCTGCAGCCTCCCTGGCCACCGCAGCAGCGGCAGAGGCGGCCACAGTGGGGCGCGGGTCCCCAGACCCAGGGAGCTGTGGCCGAGCTCAGCCCGAGGGAGGGGAGGCCTGGTGGAGGGCGCGGCCCTGAGGGGCGGCCGGCAAGAGTGGCCTGAGGGCCGGGTCTGGGCCTCGGCCGGGCAGGCCAGCCGGCCACAGACCGCGGCACACCGCAGGCCTGGCTGAGCCGCGTCGGGCCGCAGCCCTTCCTGTTTGCCCGTCAGCGACGGTGGGGACCCGAGACTTGGAGGTGGCTCTGGAGCCGCCGGGGTGACCCCTGGACCCGGCCCTTCCGGGAGGAGCAGGCGGGCTGTTCTCCAGCCTGGATCTGGGGGGGCAGACACAATCCAGGACTTGCTGGCTCCTGGGCGGGCAGGCTGGGGTGGGGCTGGGGCCCAGGAGGTGGGGGCGCCTCCGGAGGGCCGGGCAACGCCCAGGCCTGGGGGAGCGCCCTGCCCTCCCCGGGGCTGGCCGCCCCAGCGCCGACCTCGGTCACCCTTTCAGCTCGGCCTACGACTCGCAGCTGCGCCAGAAAGTGGCGGTGAAGAAGCTGTCGCGCCCCTTCCAGTCTCTGGTCCACGCGCGGAGGACGTACCGCGAGCTCCGGCTGCTCCGGCACCTCAAGCACGAGAACGTGAGCTGCCGCGGGGAGGCCGCGCCGGCCTCGGGCAGGGGGGCCGGGGCTGGAGGGCTGCCCGCCGAGCCTGAGTGCCGCCCTGCCCAGGTCATCGGGCTGCTGGACGTCTTCACGCCGGCCACCTCCATTGAGGACTTCAGCGAAGTGTGAGGGGCGGGGCGGGGCGGGGTGCGATGGGGC